AGGGTGATGTTTGCACCCACTTATAAACTATAAATTGGCCTTATCTCTAGTTGATGTGGGACTTCTAAAAATGATTATGTAGTGAGAGGAACAAGAGGTCCTGTCATAAGGACGACCCTAAGATTCTTATGATCTTGATAAGGATTAACCTTGTGAGTGGTAGCTAAATAGAGCGCCCAGGTAGATTGGGTATTACCACTACAAGTGCACGACCCTCTATATTTCACTTCAATACTATTATGGACGATCAAGTCTAGAATGCATGGTTGTATGCGTATTAATGGATTTATATAACTTGTATATATGTTAATTGTTGTATTTCAATTGTATGAATGTTTCTTTAGTAAATTAGTTTACCCTTCTATCTTTGTCTATTTGTGTGTTCGTCTGTTCTTTTGATATAATCACCTTAATCGTATGAGTAGAGGATGATGTTTATGTTGAGTGTAAGTGCTAGCTGGTGACGGAGCTGAGACGTATAGTAAGACGTTTTATTGGTCTCTTTTATTTTGAAAGGACTTCATTATAATTTTTTATTGTAATATATCTCATATTAATGTAGAGTCTGGTATATATTTTGGTATTATATGTTATTTCCGGATAAATATAATAACAACTCATATTTTTCTTAAGTTAACTATTTTATATTATTGGAAGTGTGATAAATTCTATAATAGTTAAATTTGTGAGTTGAGAAAATTATATGAATTTATAAAAAATGAATGAAGTTGAAGTTTTGCAGCAGTTTGAGATGCAGTGTGAATGGAACACTAATACAGTAAAGGAAAACGACAGCAGTTATTTTCGCTTATACGCAACGGTTCCGCAACCGAGGCATATACAGGCGAGGCGCAAAGGGGTAGGCTTTTTGCCTCGGTTCTCAACCGAGGCAAAAAGGTGTGTGCTTTTGCCTCGATTCAAATCCAATCGAGGCGGTAGAGGGGTTTTTTCTTTTTTTTTCACCATTCGCCAGGTGATTTGTTAGCCCTTAGCCTTAAACCATCAATGCACACTGCTCCATCTCACACCACCATCATCAAAGGACGGCGTGCTCCCATTATCACCTACAGAGAATCAATCAAACACCACCACTCCTGCATATAATCAATCAAACATAAAACAACTCAACCGAAATCAGAAAAAGGAACAGAAGGAAGCTTCCTCCTTCGCTGTAAATCAAAACGAAGAGAAGAAGAAGAAGAACGAGAACGGCCTCCACGCCCTTGCGCCTCCGCCGCGTCTCCGTCGCGCCATTGATGATTCCTCCGTCGCGCCTCCATCGGAACAGAGAAGAGGCAGGAAGCCTCCCTCTCGCCAACGAAAGAAAATGGGAGAAAAGAAAGGAGCAGCGCAACTTCTGTCTCTGTTCACGAAATTTATCCCTAAACACATGTTATTAGCTCGGTTATTTTATTAACCGAGACAATAAAGGTCTACGGCCTCGGTTCTATAAAGAACTGATGCCTAAACTCTCTCAATAAAATAAAAAATAAAAATTTCAGTTATTTTATCCCTCGGTTCTTTAAACAACCGAGATAATAGACTTTTGCGATAATTACAAAAATGTCACCGCGTCAGTTTTAGGCATTAGTTCTTTTGAACCGAGGCATATACGTTTGCGATAATTACAAAATTGTCATTGTGCTAGTTTTAGGCATCAGTTCTTTTTTATTCGAGGAATATACATTTCTGATAATTACAAAAATGTCACCGCATCATTTTTTGCTTCGATTATAGCTAAACTGATGTCAAATGCGCGAGTTAAAATTTTTTTTTTTACCAGTGGAAGTATGGAGTAGTAGCAGATGCACCTGGACGAGAGAAAGAAGATGAATGTTGTGGTCCAAATTTCAAAGAACAAATTTCTTTTATCATCTTTCTTCTCTCTTTGCCACTCAATTATCCACTGTCATTCATTGCTTTTGAAATTGGTACACTCATCATTATCACTTAACTTTCTTTCTCTGTTAACATCACCATCATCATCATCATATTTTATTTTATTTTATTTTTTATTTTCGATCCCACAGTATCTGTTTGGGAAATGGAACTTTCAGTGAAACTCTTGGTGGACCCTTCTTCCTACAACAATGTAGGATATGGAAAAAATTACACTCTCTTTGCCAAGAGGGAGAAGGAACAAACAAAAATATACAGAGAGAAAAGATGGTAAAACTATGATATGGATTATATATATATATATATATATATATATATATATATTAAATTTGTGTATATTCTAAATTTAATATATTTTAATTCTAAATTTAAAAAACAATAAATATAATCATTTTAAACTAATGGTGTTAGATTTTATATGTTAGATGATGTTTTAGACTGATATTTAAGTTTTGGAGTGTGTCAAATAATATAAATAATTTAATATAATTTTTGAATTATTATAAATATTGTTTGATTGATAAAATAATTTAATATAATTAGACTACGAAGATATTATATTTATCTTAAAATTTAAGATAAATATTAATTTTAATTTTAAATTCAAATTTAAAGATTAAAAATATATTTAACCTATATTTTTAAAAGAAAATATATTCTTTTGTCTCCAAAAAATTATGTTGGAGTAAATTAAAATTACAAAAGATATCAAAGATGAGAAGTTTGAAAGAAATATTATAGGTCCAAAACAAAATTAAAAACTTTATTAAAAAGAAACTATATTAAGTTAACATATTTAAATAATACTTTTCATGGTAAAGGAACTGTTTCTATGAAATGAAAAACTGAATTTAGAATGTGAAGCAAACAATCTAAAGTTACTTATGAGAAAAGTTTTTCAAATTGTTAGTTGAACATGAAATTGTTATATTAAAAATATGATTCTGTTTTGGATGTGAAATGAAAAATCATGTAACTCTTAAGTTTGAAAAAAATGTGTGATAGATAGAGAAAATTATGATATTTAAGTGAAAGTATGTGTAGAAATTTGATATTATTGATCAATGAATATTTTGATCTGCTTCCATCTGAAGAAAGATGATGGTGACAATTTTTAAACAAGTGCAATTATAGCTCTGGGTGAAAGCAGATGCTGCCACTGGAATCTCATGCACCACAGCAAAACAATTATTAATGTATTAATTTATTGATCTTATATATGCTACTGGCTTTTGTATTATTAAACACTTCATAATTATTAAATTTAGACAACTTGGGTGAATTTAAATTGATATTTTTAGTATAAATCATGGAAAGATTAAGGGTTGAATATGATTAGTTTTTAATTTTGATGTAAAATTGAAATTTTTAAATATCATTATATTTTTATTTTTAAAGTTTAAAAATAAATAAATATACTTTTTATAAATTAATTGTATTAAATTTTTTTCATGTGTTAAACAAATTTAAAAGTTATTTTTTGTGTTATTTATAATATTTTGATATATTCTAATTTAAATATTAATTTAAAATATTATTTAACAAATTAAAAAACATGTTCCAATGCAGATATTAGTTTAAACTACTATTTAAAAAAATTAAAAAAATTAAGATTGCCAAGTTAAAAGAAATATAATTTTGATAATCAAAAAATATATCAAAGTTTAGAATAATAATTTTACATTTAAATATAAAGAATAAAAACATATTTAATAAAAATTAAAATTAATTAGAAGGAAGTATTTGAAGCTTCTTATATATAAAGAAGAAATAGAAGTTAAAGATCGATTTTTTTATGAGCATAAGAAGAAGAAAATATAATATAAATAAATGATGTTGAAAAGAGGGAAAGATTGTGGGTGGAGAAGAAAGATAACGGATTAAGACGAGCAGAAAGATTTCTCACAAAGAATGATTATCCCAACAAATCCACACTTTTACAATTTTCTAAACAACTTTTAAAAATTGATGATGTGAAGAATTTTTCTTGCAAAATGGAAAACTGAGGGAAAACTTTTGTATTTCTTAGAAGCTTAATAAGATAAAGTACATAGCAAAATTATTATGGTTCGATACGTTAATATTCACACCCAATAATACTTAGCAGTTATTATTGCTCAATACACCATTTTTCAAACAAAAACAACAAATTTGTGTTAAGAAGTACAAATATTTTCATTTTCATGTGTCATTGGACCAAGTTACAACAATCGTGTCAACCATCCTAACAAAAATAAATTTCTTCATAAACATTTAACATAGAAAAAATCATTATAAACTAAAATTAAATCCTGCATAAATTAATTTATATAATTTTTCGTATTAAATTTAATTTCTTTTTGTAATTTATATATACACTTATGTTAACTTTCTTTTCTTAAGAAATCTTAAAAATCACTTAAACAAATCCTAAGAAAGGTGAAGGAAAGAGGTTCTTTTTTTCCAGGAAAATCCATTCCAAGATGTATATGCAAGATGATTCAAAATTTCCTGCTGCTCAATTCAATCTTCTATGAGATCGAGTCCGTTAAAAGTTATTTTTTTATAATTAATTGAAAAATTGAACCTAATTTGTTTGAAATTAATCTTAAAATCTAGAACATTTGAAGGTTATAAAATTGAAAAAATGAATAATTGTAACACTTTAAATCTTTTAATATATTATGTAGTGTATGAACATTTCTATTTTAATTATAAAGTCTTATTTATTTTATTAAATATAAAAAAAAACTAAAATTTATTTCAAAATAACTATTTTAAAATTGAAGTGAAAATAGTTCCTTTAAATAAGTTCGGTCTGCAAAAGGTTACCTATTTTGACATCATAATTCCATGGAAGGAGATGCAAATAGCCTCATTCATGTATCCAAAAAGGTTTCTATGACAAAGTTACTTTTATCCTTAAAATTACATGTATACAAATTAATTTTTGAAAACATCTCCAGACATTTAATATCATTAAGCCATCACTGGTAAATACATTCACGATTTGGAAAACTCATTTGTATTAAAAAAAAAAAAAACTTTCTATGACCAAAAAAAATGCATATTTTAATGAGTCAAATTGAATGTTAAATAGATAATATATTAGTGGTTAGTTGAGCACTATATGAGAATCATGATACAAAGCTAAATATAGCACCAAACTCGCAATTCAATATACATTTTTACTACTTTCTCAAAATGCTTCTTTGAATTGGAAGTTGGTAAGCACGAAAGAAAGACACTCAAATCAGTCTTAAGAATAATTCCCCTGTCCTAAACTTAGATTTTACAAAAGAAAAAACTGTTGAGACAAAAATCAACCAGCAAGAGGATTAGCGTGTATTGTTACACGATTGAGCCTTATCTCTGCAAGTGGTCGATCTCCTGCTCCAGTTTGAGTCTGCACGACAAAAAAGAGTATTATTTATTCTTTGTGATTACACATATTCTCTTGACAAGTCGCATGAATATCACACCAAAAGAAATGCAGATATTGATTGAGTTGCCAAACCAAGCCAGGACCAATTCAACCTAACTTTTGTTTAAAAGTGAAAAATCAATTACAATGATGACATAAGAATAAGATACCTTTTCCATGAGATCAAGAACTTCGAATCCATGAATTACTCTTCCAAACACAGTGTATAGCCCATTTAAATGTGGCTGTTTTGCGTAAGTTATGAAGAACTGACTTCCGTTAGTATTTGGACCACTGTTAGCCATTGCCAATATTCCCCTAGCATTATGCTGATACATAAACGAGGGCAACTTGTTAACTACAATAATCATCAGCGGAAGAAATGCCGACAATTATTGCTTCATAAAAACAAATCAAAAATGAAAATTCCGTCACTATCTAATCTCATACCACAGCTCACAAGTAACATCATAAACAATATTATAAATTAACCACATTTGATGAGATACTGAAATATAACAGCCTTAAGATGATTATATTTCAATATAATAAAATTGACATTCATGAACCAGAAGAATAAGCCAATCAAGACATATATAAATGCATATCGTAAAATAAAAAAAAAAAATACAGTTAAAAGTTGCAAGAAAATAACTCCTGTTTCAGATAAAGCAGCTTAGTCAATTATTTTCAGTTATAGAGATAACTCTCAAATAAGACAAACTGCTTTGAAAAACCTACAAAGCCATTTTGCACATAAATGTCTTCAATTGCATCATCCTGACAAAAGTACATCTCAATTGTATTCCATGCTCAAATTCCAACACGGACGTTGAGAATCAACACAAGCATAACAAACATTTCAACCCTTTTGAGCAGAACAAAAAATAATTTGCATCCTATGTCCTGACATATTTTATCTTAAAAATGCATCAAACACGAATAGAAATCGAGACATAAAATAGAAATCATATTTGCACCTATGTCTGACCTCTTCCAACAGATCAATGAATTACTACCTGACAGAACAAAAGAACTCAAGACATGGATTCATCGTGGTTGAACTCACCTTCAGTGATTCTCGTATCTCGTCATTAAATTTCTTGCCCCATATACTGGTTCCCCCTTTGCCAGTTCCAGTGGGATCTCCACCTTGAATCATAAAACCCTTGATGTTGCGGTGAAATACAGTCCCATCATAGTAACCACTTGCACACAGCGCTAAAAAGTTCTGGATTAAAACACATTTACACACGAGAACTCAACTGTTAGTCCTTTAATACAGAAAAACCAGTAGTAACCCCTCAGACAGAGGACAAAAGTTTCAATCATTATTAAGCTAAATCACGAATTCATACATTCCCTAACAGTCCGGATTCATGACTGCATGAATCGAGGATTTTTAAAATGGTATGTGATTGCAATTGCCACATCAGCTGCATTTCTCTGCCGTTTCCTAAAGCATTAAGGACCACGAGGAAAATGTAACTGAGAAAGCAATTTAAAACTTTGGAATGATTACACACAACTCCCGCTAATAAATTCCACAACTGACTGATCTTGCTCACGGTCACAGATAATTCCAACTATCCTAGAACAGTTTATTAGGTCTACAAGCCTAAAACTTAGAAGAGCTTATTCGCTACTTTTAGTGTTGCAATCAAAATTGAAATTACAGCTCAGTATTCAGCACAACAAATATTTGCATTAAAATTCACAAAAAGAGCAAGCTCGCTGTAAGTATTGTCACTACTTTCGACAATTGGGGTACCAAAACCAATTTGAGTCTTCTTTTTTTAGAACAACCATAATTTTGAAAAAAACAAATTGAATAAGAGTAATTTTGTTGACCTCGATGTCAAATTTGCATAATTTTGAACTCAATTTAAACATAAAGCACATCACATTAAAACCAATTTTACCTAATTCAACTTAAAAAGCATCCATCCACACACAATTAGTGTTCTTCTCCAATCATCATAGAAATTATATCTAACAAAAAATTGAGTTGAAATGCACATACTAAGTAAACGAAAACTAGGCCTAAAAGCACAAGTACGCACGCGTCTAGGCTGTGTCCTCTGTTCATAAACGGCAGTCGTTAGGGTAACGAAAACAAATAACTTCGAATTTTTTCTTCTAAAAAACAATTCGAAAACAAATTAAGGACAGTATAACTGAAATTACGGGGAGAAATAAACCTCGGAGGTTTTGGGAACCTCGTCGCAGAAGATTTCGCACTTGATGTCACCTAGGTTTGTGTGCAGAGTCACCGACTGAGAAAAAAAAAAGAACACAAAAACGAAAGCATAGTAAGTTTGAAGCAATTGAATTGACAGATAGACACAAAAGGGAATAAGACTGAACGAGTGATTCCACAAACCATTGTATTCGAACTGTTTTGATTCGAACGAACGAGTCGTGAGTGAGTTCTGAATAAAAACCTTTGATTTTCAATAACTGGAAGATTCTTGTGAAAAGGGATTCGTTGCGTTATGTTATTTTCTGGATTTCAGAGTAAAGTTTTTGAAGATAATTCTGAAAGAGAACCATGTTTTGCGATTTGTCTCCGTATTTTTAAAAATTAAAAAATATATATATTTCTTTTTATTTTATTTTGGTTTAATTAAATCTTCAACCTAATATAACAATGTAAGATATTTTTAAGAAATAACATAATTAATTAAAATGTAAAAGGTAAACTATGTAAAATTGAGTTTAAGATTAAAATTACAGTAATACAAAAACTACAACTTAAAAAAGATACAAACTGACTTGGATTTAAGAAGAAATTATTAAAAAAAATTTTAGACAAGTTGAAATGGTTTAATTTGAAAAGTATGGGTGACTAAGGTTTGGGTAAAAAAAGTAACATAAAAATTTTAAAATTGTTATTTATTAAATGTGATAAGTATTAAAGTTCGTGATATCATTGAACTTGACTAAATCTAGCGTTTCAAATGTAGCTGTTTGGATGAATGTGGTAATTGAATACTTTCAATAAAAATGAATTTTAGGACATTAAGAAAATATTATTAAATCAATCTTTAAGAGCTTTAAGTTGTCTGATATTACGTTTAAGTGTTTGTCTCTATATATAAAGGGATCAAATTATTTGCTGTATAATTATCAGAAAGTTATTTGATGAGATGTGCGGGAGAGGATCGATTCTGAATGGTGTTACATTCGCAAAGGAAAAAGGTAATGGAACTGATTTTAGTGAGAGAACCAGAACGGTATGTTTTCGTTTTACTATATATTAATAATAATATAATAATAATAAATATAATAAAAACAATATCCACAAGCTACACATATGAATGAGTTTGTTTTGTAAACTTTTTTATTTGACCTTTCATCAAATCATTAAATATAGACAAGATGGTTAGTGAATGTATAAGTTTTGAGATATAGAGAATGAGAAACTAGGTTCGTTTGTAGTAGTAGATAGAGTGGTGTTTGAAGTTTTTTCAAGTGAGTTATTTGTGTGTGTGGTTCATAGGTCAGAGGTCTATATTCAACGATAGGAGGTGTGTTGTCAAGCTATGATGTGTGATGCAAATGTATTAACGAGTGTTGCTGAGTTGTTAAGGTATGTTGTTAAGCTATTAAGACATGCTACTGAATTGCTAAGTTGTGTTGTGGACCTGTTAGGGTATACTGCCAAGGTTTTAACATGTACTATCAAGATTTTAACGTGTGATGACAAGCTTGTAAGGGTTGTTGCTAATTTGTTAAGGTTTGTTGCCGAGTTTCCCAACTATGCTATTAAGTTGTTAGTATTGTATCATGGGCAACCTCCATGATGGTGAAGATGGAGATGAGGAGGTTAAAGATGAAGGAGAGGGAACCAATTCCCCTTTGCATATAATCGATTCCACCATACACTAAGACAAAAAATGGAATCCGTTCCATTAAAGCTCATAACTGATTTCAACAAGCGTAACTAATTCCTATTCATATGGAATCAATTCCAAAAGCTTGGAATTGATTCTATGAGGCGTTGTAATTCATTCTAGGAATATTAAAATCGATTTCATAGCGTTCTAACTCATTTCAATACTTCTTTATGTTGTAAGAGATCCATGATGGAAAGGCAAGTTGGAACTAGTACGTGCACGTTGTGAAGTTGGTTCATTTGGTGATGTTAACCTCGTGGTGGATTTGAGTGGCTAGCGTAGGAAGTGGAGGATGTAGTTTTTAACTATTGTAGATGGTAGAGATTAATTGGTGGTTCTTGGAGGTAAAGTTGTTTGTCATTTGGTTTTGTTTGAAATATGGTGGTGTAGGTGTTAGAGTTGTCATGGTGGTTCGTGATATCTTATTCTATGTGACTTATATTATTGGTAAAACAAGGATTATTACAACCTAAGGCTTTGTTCACTTGAATGGATTTGGGGGAGAGTGATTGAATGAATTTGAAAGGATTTGAAAGTAAATTTTTTGTTGTTTATTTGAGTGGATTTGGAGGTAAGTGAGAGTGGATTTGGAAGTAAAATTTGTGAGAATTAGTGTAGGATTTGATTAATGTGACAAATTAAAAAAATTTACTTCCAAATTCACTCTCACTTACCTCCAAATCCAATCAAATAAACAACAAAAAATTTACTTTTAAATACTCTCAAATTCATTCAACCCCAAATTCATTCAAGTAAACAAAGTGTAAGTGTTAATAGTTAATACATAAATCAAACAATAATTTATATGTGATCATGTATATGTGACCATAAATTCATATAATTCTTATCATTCTTAATAATCATTTTCATATTTCAAATACAATCCATTACAATGACAAAATAAATAAATAAATAATATCCAAAAATATATTTTTAATCTTTAAGGAACATTTTTTTACTTTGAATGAAAATTTTCTCACTTAACCTAAGAGTTAAAGATTGAATTATAGTGTTATTTTTGCTTAAATAATGTTGAGACAATAGAGTATAAAAGGAGAATCAAACAGAGTCTCCGACTTTTTTTGCACAACACAAAACTAAACATAACTTAAAATAAATAGATCAAGCATAAAAAAGATTTTACACTAGTTTACCATGGACTCCCTTAAACACATAACTTAAATATGTTCTACTAATCACATTATTATAAAAAGTACACAAACCTCTTTAAGTTAATTTAGTACACAAATATTTATAGATTATATAAATATAAATATCTCGAGATAATAACAAATATAAACTCCCCTAAGTAAATACTTCTAAATCTCTCGTTGAAATTAAAAACTATCAAGAAAAAAGATAAACTCTCCATAAAGAGAATAATTTAAACTCATAAGAATAATTTTATAGAATGAAGAACTTTGCAAAAGATTTTTACACAGCCAGCAGACAATTTGATCTCGACACGATTACTATAAGACTTTGTAAGCACAAGATTGTATCTTTACATATGTATTGTGAGTATGTTTTTTTTTTCTCTTTTTCACTTTTTCAAACTTTCTTTGTGTATCTTCAACTTAAAGTCTTTTCATATCTTCAGAAAAGATAACCATTATGACTTTTAAAACGGAAACATTTGATGATGCAGGATTTTTATCATCATCTTCATATTGGATGCTAAAAAAAGGTTTTGATAAAATCTTCAATGTCATCTTCAAAACTTTCTTTCTTTTGGTTCTGCTATGAAAACAATTTTAAAATATACACAGATAATTAAGAAAATCAAACTTAACATAAATAACTTGTTTTTATTTAGAGATAAAATGACCATTGATTCTTAAGAAAACTTTGATCATATCTTTTATAATGTTATTAGATAATATTTGCTTTAAAAAGATTTGATATTATATATTCTTCAACCTTAAAGAATATTTATTCTAAAGGAAACTCTTTAAAACAAATTATACAAATATGTCAGAAAGATCATATATAAACTGATTTGTTTCTATAATTAAGTTTTAAGAAATTAATTCACATATAAAATATTCGTTAAGATTGTTCTTAACTTGATGTGATATTATATTATAGGCTTAAATGCTTACTTTGTCTCCATGTTAATGTTAAAGGGTGAATTTCTGTTTAGTATCCGATTTTAAAAATGAAGACATTGTGTCCCTATTTTATGAAAAATATATGAATAAAGTCCACAAAAAAAGAACAAGTTCAATAAATCATCAAAGAAAAAACTGAACAAGAGATAGAAAAAGTTGGACAGCAGAAGAGAGAAGAGAAAAAATACGACCACATCAGCATGGACTTAACGCCGTTGTTGTCAACTTAACGAACAGAACTTTATTTATACACTTTTCATAACATAAGAACTCAATGTTTTCATTTTTAAAATCGGATACTAAAGAGAAATTCACCTCTTAACACGAGGACGAACTAAGTATTTAAGCCTATATTATAAAAATGACTAAACTATTTTATTTATCATTGAAAAACACAAGCCAGACAATAAACAATACACAATACATGATAAATGAGGTCATGTATTCATCTAATCTTTTGATAAAACTTGATAAAAATATTTTCGTCTTAAAATCCTTTATTTGCATAATTAAATAATTAAATAGATTAGATAAATAATCATATTGACTTTCATCATTAATACTATTAATTGTCATCAAAATTACTTAAAGGTCTTATTCAAACCATCTAATGGAATATACTGTATCATCTGGGCTTAACAGAAAAAAAAACCTTCACTTAAAGCGCAAAGAGGATCGAAAACAATGCCTTTTCAGCTCTAATTTTGCTTGAGAAAAAGTAAGATCAAGAGTCAGATTCCATTTTCTGTTTATTTTTACTTGGACAAAAATACCAGAAAAATCAATTTTAACAAAATCAAACCAATTTTCAAAAATATTTTCAAAAACATTTTAACCATATAACTTATAAACAATTCAAATACAGTACAAGAAATGAATTATTTAAATATTATCTTCTACTCGTTTCAAATCAACAATAGTCATAATTATACTCACATCAAATTCATAAAGTATTATAAAAAAGTTATAAAAAATTATTCTATTTATCTAAACTAAATTCAAAATCCAATTTAACGAAACTCTATACTTTAAATGCATAACTTAATCAGTAGATTAACTTATTATTAAAAGGCTTAATAGGTTATTTCGTCCCTAAGTTAAGAGCTGAATTTCTGTTTAGTATCCAGTTTTAAAAATGCA